CGGAAATGATAAGGTGACATGTGACATATGACAGGTTTGATATACAGTCACAGTCATGGATCTGTGATCAGCACATATTAAAATTTTGGATAAGTTGTCATTGGCCAAAGGTCCAACTAAAACTACTATAGAAAATCAGCTTATGAAATATGACATATAGAATATTTTGATTTAAACTAGATTGCATAATCCAGATCTCACACTCATACCCGTCTGTAATAATAAGGTTGTAGGTTTAAGGCTAAACGATCTGGACAGTGGGTGGTTGACTACAATAAAATTGTCTACCAGGCACTGTCAATACTGTAAAAACGAGAAGAAAATTGACTATGAAATTGAAATATTAAAAATTAAATCAAAATTGAAAGCAGTGTATAAATGGGGTATAGTTCAAGTAGTTCAGTTAAACCTCAAGCCAATGGGAGAACTGTAAAACTAATATGTAATAGCGTTACTAAAGACCAACTGACCAACAGGTGTTGAAATATAAAACTGTGGAATTGGTATATGTAGATTAGGCAGAGGTATGAAGAGTGAAATCAACTTCAACTGTGGATCAATTGAACCTGAGCAAGCTAGTTGTGTAAATTGTTAACGAATACGATAGTAATGCTGAACAAATCATGAAATTAATAGATTCTTAATGGATATACTCAGTGCAGGAAGTCTAAACAGCCGAGCTGGGTCCACTACGAGGTGAAGCTGCAATAAAGTTTTTAAAAATAGGTTTAAATTTAGTACATTTTAAATTAATTTGAGTGTTAAGACAATGAGAGTTTCCATTCGTTTCCTTTGTGATCTCCAAATCTCCCAATAAATCCAACTCCAAATAGTTTTTCTTTCTGCTGATGTCATGCAAAAAAGACGAACCAGTATTGATGTTGAAATTGTGTTTACTAGACTGTAAATGTTGACCAAAACTTGAAGAGTTTGGTCTTTTCAAATGTTCTGAAATTCTGGTAGATAGCTTTCTAACGGTTCTGCCAACATAAGAGGCATCACAATCGTCACACTTTAATTTGTAAATACCACTTTTGTCAAGTGTGTTCAGCCTGTTTTTGGTGTTAATTAAAAAGGAACCTACAGTGTTGTGTAACTTAAAGGAAATTTTGATGTTTTCAACTACAGAAGTAAAAAGTTTAGCTATTTTATTAGAAATGTTGCTTATATAAGTAAAAGAGAAATATCTGATATTGTTAAAAGCATTAGGTTGAAGAAGACTTTGTGATGAATATGCAAGCTTTTCTGTAATTTTGAGTTTAGCTCTATTTAGAAGCTTATGGATAATGTTGGGATCATAACCATTATTGAAAGCAATTTGTTTGAGAGTGTTAAGTTCTAAATTAAAGTTATCATTCGAAAGTGGAAATTTAAGTAATCTGTGAGTATAACTATTGAAAGCAGCCATTTTATGTTGGGTTGGATGGTTAGATGTCTCATGTATAACATGATCTGTTTGGGAGGGCTTTCTGTAAATATTGTACTCAAGAGAATCTTTATTGCGAGATATAGTGAGATCCAAAAAGTTCAACTTATTGTCAGATTCTGGTTCCAATGTAAAAGAGATATTAGGATGGAGGTTATTAAGATCGTCCAGAACCTGTAAAGCATCATCTTGGGATCCTTGTATGAGAGCTATACAATCATCAACGTACCATGACCAAAAAATGATTTTGTTGTTGTTAACAAATTTCTATTCTAATATTGTGACTACGTACATGTTTTGTACTTATTTTAACATAATTTTATGTAAATGTTTATGTATATGTGTTTTAAGTATTTTAAATATGTATGTTTAGGTTGGAAAAGTAGGCACTGTGCCTACTTTTCCAACAATAATAATTGTATTATCCAATTTTAATAATTCTAATTTCCTTTGCTTAATTTCGGTGGACATATTCAAGTTCTTCATTCTTGTCTCATGTTCTTCATCAAACTTCTTTCTTTGATGGTCAACAAATTCAATTTTATTTGCTGTTAATTCGTTGGATTTTGTGTTAATCCTCTTTGAGACATGAGTTTTCTTCACCACGGTAACATTGTCCTTTCGCCCTAATAAAAAACATTATTTTATTGTAAATAATCAAAACATATTAGCTAATATCTCACCTCCTCTTGGAGTAGACAACTTCTCTGCTACAGGTTGCTGCAAACTTGTTGTCGAATATCTTTCCCAGCTGGTATCTAGTGCAGATGTACATGGTAGATTTTCTGGAATTTCTTCCTCCGACAACACTTCTACATCTTCTAAAACTTCCAGCAGCATGTTTCCTGGATGTAAGTCCATGTCTAAAATAGTTTAAGTTATAACAAAATATTGAAATAAAATTAATATATATATATATATATATATATATATATATATATATATATATATATATATATATATAGACAATGTTTTACAAAAAAATTTCTGACACACTTTACTTTTCTTTCCCATATTTGTGACAAAATAGGATTTTGCGTTGGATCGCATTTTGCTATTTTCTCCTTTTCTAGGCCTGCGACTCTTTACTTCATTAGAAAGCACATTCAGTAATATAAAATGTTTCTGTCTTTGAAATGACAACATCGCATAAGTTTGACATAGCAACTTCCGGTTCTCTTCAGAAGACATTTAGAGCAATTAACCGCTTTTGGAATTTTAGGAGCTTGCATTCTACCAGTGGTACTTTTGTAGGGTTTTCCTTCAACTCGTTTGCTGTTTTCAACATTTCTTTTCCACACAGATGGTCTCGGGGTGTTCCATCGGCTTCTTTTAGGTCCTACTTGACTATTTTCCTTCGTTGGTATCTAAATTATCACTTTCATTACTTGAAGGAATATAGTAGCTATCCTCCATACATTCATCAGAATCCTGATCACTTATTTGAGGAGGACCTGACTAAATATCTTGACAAAAATTATCAGAATTTAGGCTCACGTCTTTATTTATCGCTGTAGGTAGTTCGACAGAAAATGACGTCAAAGTTGGCTCAGGTTGGATTGGTTAATGTATGTCTGTAAAAAAATGTATCCAGTGAGTACAATTAATTCATTCATAGAATAAATCTTAATAATCATAAAGATCTATAAAAATCATTGTAGCTTTTGGGTCAAATTATATTCTTTGTAATCTATAATAAAATTGGTTGGTATTCTAATACACAGTGACTACATTAATTGCTTACCTGAAATCTCTCTCTCGACAACTGGTGTCAAAATTGTATAGATCTTCTTCTCTGTAGGCGCATCAGTCAATGACGTTGGAAACCCTGAGGATGGCTCTTTTTCTAAAATAGAAACACAGGTTTTACTGTTTGTAAAGTTCTTAACAAAATTGATCTATAATGTCATGCTATAAGTTACATGCACTATTATTTATTTAAAAAAAACTTTGACCTCAATATTATCAATAAATTAATAAGTAGGTCTAAATTCTAACTTTGTCCAATTACACTCTTTATAAAAGATGATCCCAATTTTTGTATTGGTCGTGTCACTCAGTGGAGATCGAGACATTGGATCTGTCACATTTTCTGAAATAGATATAATGCTTCTCTTATAATTTGTTAATATAATTAATAACAAATAAAATTATACAAGTTCGACTACGTTATGGCATGCATTTTATTTTAAAAATTGTAAATGCCTTGTGAAAATCTACTCATAACTAACCCAATTTTTCAATGGAAAAGTTAAATATTTGATTTTAACAAAACAATAACAAAATAATTAGATCTTGATAAATGCTAGATAATTCAAAACATTTTAATATAATACTGTTTGTGTATTACTTACCCTTATTTAACATATTCAGTATTTTATCAGCACGTTTCATTTTTCATACAGAAATTAAATAATAAATACACACAAAATTCAAAACTGTTAACGAACTAATCACGCAAAACACTAGAATAACCATGACAAAACTATGCAATATACCCAAACAAATAATTATTTTTTTACAAGATTGTACAAGTTGCTCTAATCTAACAAGCTCTGAACAAGTGTCTATTTTTAGAAAAAGTATTTTCGAAGAGTGGATGGTCCTTATTAGCAGCTACAGAAGAAGCGTGTGAAAGTGTTAAAAGTGCCCGCCTATACTGCAATGATAGTTGTCCAGTTTCAGAATATAAACTTTCTATGCATAGATATTGTATGCGTGCAATTTTTTAATGATGTTAAATCTACAACATGTATTGAAGGCTTTCTTTAAATCGAAGAAAATAACTATGCACATTTGATTCATTGCTGACCGGTTACGTCTGAAGTCGTTTTGCTCTGGTAAGAAGAAATGAGATTATTCCAGTGTCCACATAAGCCGGGCATTGACTATTTTCCCCATTAATTTAGCCATGGCACATATTAGAGAGATGGTTCGGTATGATTCTGAATCAAGTCGAGGCTTTCTTGATTTTAAAAACGGCAAAATTGTGGCGTTTGCCCACATAGACGGATATTGTCGTTGCTGCCAAATTTTATTGAAAATTTGCAAAAGATGTTGTTTTGCTAAGATTCCAACACCACTATACGTGGTGTTGGAATTTTGTGTATAAGGTGCAGTATATCTGCATAATTTACCTTTGAGTTGGGAGGAATGTAGATATTACATAGATAAAATGACATTAAGGAATCAATTTTGATGACTATGGCTTCTAAATTGCTTACTACGGAAAATAAGTTTGCATTGAAAGATTTTTTTACTAGTGTCATAACACCACCACTAGCATGGTTAACAAGCATCCTGTCTTTACGGAAGCATATGTATTGTTTAGGATTCTATTTCTGTTGGGGTTTTAAATTGGTCTCTTGTAGACAGATTATGTCTGGACAGTTTTCGGCAATGATAATTTGTAGCATAGCCAAGCGATGGAAAAATCCATCGATATTCCATTGTATGATTGAGTTGAATGTAAGAAATGAAAAAAATTAATAAGAAAAAACTTTCTAATTCAGGCCCACCTCTCCAAGATAAGCAAAATTTTTTTGTTTAAGTTGGTTAGTCTTGCTTTTATTGACCTTTCTTTTAAATAGGGACGGATTTGTTTTAACATGTGAGAGAGACCTAGCAAATCAGACGTGAAATCCTTGATCGAGGTTATGGGATTAGATAAGCGGGCAGTGTTGTCTGGTAGGAGGGCTAATTGTTCACTGTTCAGTAGAAATGGTGGTTCGTGATTATTAATGAAGGTTTTGGCTGATTCTATCATGGATGAAAAGGATAAATTCGAATGCATTTCTTTAACCTTTTCAGGACCGCACCGATTTCAGTCGGTTGTGCTCGCTGGATCGTAGCCGACGTGCTTGCGAGTTTATTCGGCTTTGGTCCACAAACGCGGTTTTAGATATTATATTTTTTAGTATTATTTTATATATGAAATATGGAGATTAATAATTTTTGAGAAGCAAATCAAAATCAAAATATAATTTTATTAATAAGAAACAAAATTATGATATAGAAGAGAAGAAAATCAAAATCGAAATATATATTATTAATAAAAAAAAATATTTTATACTTTTTAGGATTATTTTAAGTATATTTATGGAAATAAATAAGTTTTGAGACGCAAATCAAAATCAAAATATATTTTATTAATAAAAAAATACACAAAAAAATTAAAATTGTAGTACTGTATGGTACCGTTCAAAGCATCCTATAACACATAGTGCTACGTTGCATGATTCACAATTATAGGCTGTTTCCCTTCTTTTATTCTGTTTCGCACAAACAACACCCCACTTGACAACAGATTTATTATTTTCAGGTCTTTTGGTAAATTGAAGGAAAATGTCTTTCAATAAGGCGTAAGGGATTGTGAGAATTTTCCATTCTGCTGCTTGTACAACTTCTAGGTGTCACCTTTTTATGTTTTTCTATTATCAACTTCACTAAAGTCCTTTGGAAGTCCAATAATGGAATATTATTTCCAGTTTTCATTTTATATATTACATGGGAATTCAGCACCGCTACATCTAGTAGATGAAAAAACACTTTCTTATACCACTTCACTGTTTTTCTTACACTCTCTGTGGAACTCAGAAGCATATATGTTTTGTCTACTCCTCCCATATTTTAAGGTGTAAGGGATTGTGACCAAAAATCGCGTCTGGTTTCTGAACTTGTTCACCTCTTTTATTTATCACAGTTTTTATTTAATTGCTGTGAATTGTAGATAACATATGGATGTCTCTTTCATCTTTCCATTTCAAAGCCAGTAAAGTTTGGGTTGAAAAATAATCAATCGAACCTTTTTCAATTTTTTCAAACTTCGGCATGAACATTCTATTTGGTCTCACTGTTCCACAGCAATAAACTTTTTTTTTCTAAAAGACTGATACAGAATGGGACTAGTGTACCAATTATCTGTGTATAGATGATGTGCTTTGTCGAAATAAGGCTCCATCAAAGTCATTACTATATTGCCTGAAGTTCCTAGATTTTCGTCGAACTGCTTTATTTCTGTTGTAGCACCTGTGTATATCAGTAGATCAAGTATATATCCGGTTTCACAATCTACTATAATATAAAATTTGATCCCCAATCGATGCCTCTTTGAAGGAATATACTGACGAAATGATATTCTTCCTTTGAAAAGCATAAGGCTTTCGTCAATCACGAGGTTTTGAAAAGAACACATACATTTTTTAAATACTTGTCGGTAATGATCGATAATGAATCTCATCTTAAACAGCCTATCTTCTCTGATAACGTTGGAGTTGTCCGAAAAATGCAAAAATCGTAAAATTTCTAAAAATCTCGCGCGGGACATTATTTGACCAAATTCAGGCGTCTGAATTACGAAATCTTGGGACCAATAATCCTTTATCCTTTGTTTTTTCACTTGAGGCATAAGTAGACAAAGACCCAAAAACAGGTAGATTTCATCGGTAGTTGGTGGTGTATATTTTTGAATTTTTTGTGATATTTTCACCTACAATATAATGGTAATACATGTTTGTTTGTACCGCTATTTCTTCGACGAATTCTTTAGAAACAAAATTTTCAAAAACCTCCAAAATTGTTGGAATTTTTGGCAGGTTTTCAAGTAGGCAACCGGAATAGGTCACATCAAAATTTTCTAAACAAGGTTTGAGGTCAACTTGGCTCCAAATAAACTTGTTTTCCAGCTTATCAGTTTTCTTTTTTTTTGCTAGTGGTGGATCATCTTCCTGATTAGGTTGATTATTATTTATTTATTATTATTATTTAATTATTATTATTATTATTATTATTTATTAATATATTATATTACGAGCCATTATTAATCTACGATGTGCTCTGTGTATACGCTTGAAGCGCGCCAAAACTCTGAACGTGTTTCAATGAATAGTACTCATCCCTATTAGATCCGCGTGTTTCACTGTCATATTCTCTAGGATTCTCTTTCTCTAGGAATGTAATTGTGGATTCCATATTTTTTTCATTGGGGCGTGGTCAACTTAATCTGACCAATAGAGGAATGTCAATACATCAGATAGTTTTGGGTTCCTACATACGCCTCCATCAATGCGAGTTTGTACGTCTCCGGTCCGACCGGCACGAAAATTTTTTGCGAGTAAACTCGTCTTTGGTCCTGAAAGGGTTAGGTTTAGTTTTCTTTGACTTTTTTCGAGTTCCTGTGGATTTTGGTGTTACAAATGGGCTTTCTTGAGATGCAGTGTCAGTCTCCGTAGAGATGACTTCATTTATAGAGCGTTTTGAATGCGTTTCTTTACTTCCTGTTTCTTCTGTATTTACATTAGGTAATTTTGACTTCTGACTAATGTATTTCAGATATATTTGTAGGTTCGGTGCAGGCTGCTGCCACGTGTCCTGGCTTCTTACATTTAAAGCAGACGTTCCCATCTTGTGAAAAGAATACTGTGTAGTTTGTGTTTTCGAATGTTATTGTTATGGCGCTTGGGATGGTGAAAATATGAGGGCTAACATATACTTGCCGTCTAAAGCTTAGGATATGGCTCTAATCGGGAAGATTTGCACCAATTTTTAGAAATGTTATGGGAGATACAAGATTTAGACCAATTTTAAGTAATTCTTTTTCAAGAAGATTATGTGGAATGGTAGGGCATACGCTTGACATAACAATTCTTTCAGCAGGTGTTATAAGCCGTCTAGCTCTTAAAACTTCTCCTCCGATAGTGATTTGACCATGGTTATCTAAAACCTCATCTAGGATATTTTTGATGGCAAGGTACATGCAAATTCGGTTGTTGGAAAGGCGGGAGGCAAAAATGATATTTTTTGGTTAAACTATATTACCAGGAGTAATTAGGTAGTCTTGAAGCGGAGTATTTTCAATTGCACTAAACACTAGTGCTTGTTCTTTGGAAGGAAATTTAAATTCATTGGTCACTGCTGAGTAGCTTTTTGGTACATTTCTTTTAAATTGAGATGATTCGGAATCAAGTTGTTGTACATTACTTAAATCCATATTTGCTTCGGTAAAATTATTTTACACAGGTGTGTATATAACAGGTGTTATATGTGTTTATAACAGTTATTTGCAATAATTAAGTGAAAAATAATATCTCGTTGATCACTTACTGCCTTATTTTAATGATATGCACAACTGTCACAAAATAAATAAGACCAGTTACTTGCACTTTTGTATAAATAACGATCATAACTAAAAACACAGGTTAACTTATGCTCAGTCAAGACCGGTCTCTCTTTAAATGGTTTTGTTCGTATTAGTCCTTGCATTAACCAGTCTAAATCACGTCTATCTGCGAAATATTGTTCTAATGCTCTCTTTATTATAATACTATACTATTCCATGTCGTAACTTACATGCGGTTTCCTACTCGTGCTTCTATTTTTCCAACTAGTTTATCTTGTATGCAATCCAAAATGTGTTTCTTTAAATCTGGATCATTATATACAGAATATGTTTGTATTAGTTCGTTGTATCTTAACCCTCTACCAGGCCAATTTTATTTTCAATGGAAAAATTCATAGCTTGATAGGTTTTGACATAAAAGAGCCAATTATGATATTTATTTTGTCTGAAATTCTTTTTTTTTAGCCACCTGATGAAAAAAAAAATAGCCCGCCTCTAGGCGGGCTTGCCGGGAATATATATATATATATATATATATATATATATATATATATATATATATATATATATATATATAGATATATTTACCTCAAGATGCACATTTCTTAGTTTATTTTATTATAAACGTAAAAAGCAAATACAATAAACATAAAGAAGTAAGTGAAAATGGAAAATTAGTTGCTTTTGTGAAAAGTAAGAAAACTATTATTTGTTGAAGAAAAACATAAATTAACTTGACATTTACAACAAAAAACCTGAGTTTCTGATTTGCAGCCAGCTAGCTTGCATGTTTTTTTACCCGTTCTATCTAGAAAAGTTGGCCAGTGTGATGTGTTGTCGAAGCGAATATCATCTGCTGGTAGATATGTTTTTCTTCCACCACTTGGTGATGGTTGCAGTACTTTTAGAGATGGTCTACCTACTGGTTTCTTCTTAGGATTTACCTGATATTTGCAGAGTACATCAGCCACTGAATTTCGAAAATTTTCAAGTTTCTGAATTACAGTGTTCCAATGAATTCTACGGTGGAGAAGGTATGAATTCACCAAAGTCATGTCGATAAAGTGATAAAAAAGGCGAAGTGAAGCGCTTTTTGTTTTTATTCAGATGCGATATCGACCAAGTAAGCCGTCTAATAAATCTACTCCGCTCATGTGGCAATTGTACTCTAAAAATAAAGTAGAATATAGAACTCAGTAATAATAAATGTGGACATAAAATACCTTTAATAATATTCGGACAATCAAGCTCCAAATATTTCTTCTTCTTTCTGTCATATCTGGCAATCTTTCTTGGTGACTCTTTTAGAAGTATAGATGAGAATGGCTGAACCCCAACGTAAGTAGACGCTAATCTTACATTTTTGGTATCCTTCCAATGTATTGGAACACCATATGCAGTACCAACGTATTCACTAGATTCTCCTCTTTGTAAATTAATAGCCCGTTTATCTTTGTCATCAGGTAACTTACAATTAGGAATTCTATCACGACGAATAGTGCCAAGTGCATATATCCCATGGCTCCTTAGATAGACAAGTAGTGGTAATGACGTATAGAAATTATCTAAGTAAATTCTCTCTCTCTTCAATCCTGACCCCCCAGGGGGAGTGTAGTGGTCGACGTGATGTCGTATATTGTCCGTCTCCAGAGATCTTTGTCTCTGGTCATTTCTTTTAATGCATGCATAGATCTTTGGCATATTCCTGTAAAATCTATCCATCTTGTTGGGGATCTTCCTTGTGATCTTCGGCCTTCTATCTTTCCTTGTATTATGAGTCTTTCCATGTTTTCTGTGTTTGCTCGCATAACATGCCCAAAATATTTTAATTGTTGGAGATGGACTTTTATGATTCATAAAATGAGGAAAAGTTTTTGCTAACCTAACAACAACATTAGAAGTTGCTCCCAAATCTGGTTCCCCTGGAAGGACAATGTTATCACCAGCACCAGTATAAACTTCGAAGCGGTATGCAAACCCATAGGAGTCACAGAGAACAAACAGTTTCATTCCCCACTTGTGGGGTTTATTCGGCATATATTGGCGAAGTTGTGAACGCATCTTTGTTGCATACATTTGCTCATCTACACACAAACGGGGCTGTTTTGGTATTAAATCAAAACGGTCATTGAGGTGATCAATGATTGGTCGAACTTTGTAAAGTCGATCATACCCCGGTTCACCTTTTTTCTTCAGCAAAGAAAGGTCGTTGAAACTTAGATGCTTACGAATTGCGAAACATTTTTTAGGTGTCATTGTACTTCCAATAGCTTTAAAAGCGTGTTCTCTCCAGTATTGCTCCACAGTTGGATAGCGGTACAAAGACATGTAAATAAGAATACCCACATATTGTCTAATTTCTAAAGAAGTTACTTTAAATAAAGAGTTTATATTTAGCAATCGTGCGTTCATATTTGTACTTGTAGCTATATGTTCATAGAAATCATCTGTAAAAAAATAATTAAAGCACTGATATGGTGTTTTCAAATCTCTGAAACTATGTGGTAACTCTTTGTTACCTTATTGTTCTGAAGCTATTTTCTTGTGGCATTGTAAATTAATTACTATTAAACTGGGAATAAGCCACAATTAAAGATAAAAATACGTTTATTGACGTTTCAATTTCCACTTCGGAAATCGTTCTCAAAATACAAACAGTAAATTAAACAAATTTTGTTTTTTGTTACATAGTGAAAAATTCTTCTAATAATTTAATGTTATCTGACTCATTTATATTGACAATTCATACATACATTATGCATTTTAAAGTAGACGACTTTAAAATGATATTGCCAATATTGTTGAGTTGCGCTCCTGGGACGACTTTACTTATAAGATAGTTCATTCGATTACATGAAATCAACTTTAACTTGAGAATATCCGTCAGAAAAAATCATAGCATGTAATTCGTCTTTAAAAAGACAAACACATGACATGATGACAGTAAAATTCTCCTGTTAGTGATTCCATAGTAAATTATGAGGGAAAACCAGGAAAAAAACCTCATAATACTATCCCGACATTGTAAGTATTTGTTCGTGAATTTAGTTTACCTTCAACAAACATCAAAATTCTGATTTTATATGTTACGTTATTTAAAAAACATAAATGATGTATCCTCTATATGTTACTGACTTACTAATACTGGTATTTTCTTAGTAATAACTTCCTCTTTCAATATTGGTAACCAGATCCTACTACATTCTGCCGAAGAATTTGCGACACAATTGGCCTCATTTAGCATAATTAGAGCTGCTTCTTTGAGTTTTCTTTTTTTACCATCCGTTTCTTTTAGGACTACATTTGAATTATTCCATTGAACCCTATGTTCATTATCTTTGTTACCTTGAAACACCACCTGATTTTTATGTAGTTGTAAGTTTTTCTGTCTCCAAACTATCTTTTTAAATTCATCAGACTTGGTATCAATATTTACTGCTTGTCCAATAAACCCGCCATTGTTAGGTAGCATTTGGGGACCCTCAGGCTCATTCTCGGGTAATGGTGACTTTGCTCTTTTCATAGGCTTTTGTTCCAGATAAATAGCACTGCACTCGGTACTTCCTGCTGAAGTGGATGGTTGAACATCTCCGGATTCCGTCGCTGCTGCTATTGATGGTTGAACATCTTTAGATTCCGTCACTGTTGCTGATAAAACACCTACTGTTGAGACTGACAATATATTTTTTGATGTTGCTGGTTTAGGCGAAGGTGCTGGAGTCGATGTCATTGGAGAGAAACATCCAGTTACATTCAGATCTAACTCTGTAGATTTCGTAAGAAATTCGGCTGATGATAGTCTCTGCATATCTGATAGACATTCGTTAATTACATTGTCTTTATCTTTTGTAAGTTCATCTTTACTTGATGAAACTTCGTCATCAGTTTCAACCAAGTAATCGGAGTCGTCCACAAACTCGCCGTAGTCTTCGTCATCGTATTCAGATTCTTCGTCCGTCGTAATAGAATCCATCATTTCTCTAATTTCCTCTTCAGTCATTCGAGAGTAGTTAATTTTGGAATTACGCCACATATTATTGCTTCTTTTAGAAGAGATTGTAGATAACTGAAACAAAAAATAATACTCGAAATCACAAAAAATCGATGTAACATAATAAGCGTGTCTGATTTGTAAGAAAACCGCGAAATTCATGTAGACCGGCTACACCGCCTTGAGGCGGTCAATGTTCAAACTCATTTTACGTCTTTGATATAAATGTATACCGCAAATTATGCGGTATATATACCAAAACTTACCAAATTACCGATATACCAAAAATTTTGATGGGTTGGAGTCAATAAAAGGGGCTATTTGTTGACTATTTTTTTACTCGAGCTTTCAATTGTGATTACAATTTTTATCAAGAGCTTCTAAAAAATACAAAATATCTTACGAAGTTGAACTAGGAATAAAAAATTTTTTTGTTAACTCACCAAATAAAATTAGTTTTTTATATAAAACTACTGCTTACACATTAATTACAAAAAATATTAATAAAAAAATGTCTTATTCTAATAAATGTTTATCTGAAAAATTTTGATGAAGTTTCTTAACAAAAACAATTGAATTTATAAACAAAAATAGAATAGCTACAAACCAGCCTAAATGTCATAAATACTAACTTAAAAATTTTTATTTTTGACATATTGTCAAAAATAAAATTTTGTTTAAAAAATTCTTCTTTGTTTAGTAACAAAAAAGAAGAAGATTTATTCACGATTGATAGATGCCCGAAAAAATGTAACAAATACATGGAAAATTCAAAATGTGATATTTTACTGACTGCATATATAAATTAAATAGAAATAATATAATTATAAATTTTGCTTAAATTTTGAATTTCTGACCTTTTGTTTAAATTATTATCACTTTTGCTAATACAAACCATTTCCAAAAAAGTTCTTTTAAATTTATTACTTTCATTACATAAAATTTTAATATTATCAAAATCCATAATATGGTCTTTGTCTATTACATGCTCTGCCAAAGCACAAGATGGTTTCTTAATTCTACAATCACTCTTGTGAGAAATAATGCGATTTGAGAGATTTCTTCCAGTCTCACCAATATCCTCAGCTTCACACTGAGTACAAACAATGCTGTATACTACATTTGTTTGATCTAATTTGTCTATAGGATATTTAGTTTTGGAATATAAAGATGAAATAGTTTTAATGTTCTTTGTTGCTATTTTTATATTGTCAATAACCTTTAATGTTTGTATTAATTTAGGAGTTAATGATGGTATAAAAGGTAGTGAATGATAATATATGTTTTGAACGTTGGATACAGTGTTTTAAGATTTAGCAAAAAATGGTGTTAAGTTATTTATATTTAATAAATTAGAAAAAAGCATCCTATGTAGCATATCTGGAGGATAAGAGTTTTCAATTAAAATATTTTTTAACAAATGAAGATCTTCTTGTAGATAGTCTGGATGAGAAAGTTTTAAAACACGTTCCTTTAATCCTGATATAAGGTTCATTTTCATCTTATTTGGATGATTAGAGTAATAGCTTATAAATCTATTACTACATATGGGTTTTCTGAACCATCTAGTTTTCAACATATTGTCTGTATTTCTTAATTGATTGAGGTCAGGTGAGCAAGGTGGCCATTGTAATCTGACGATATCTTCTGTATCTAAAAAATCTGTTACATTTCTCGTACGATGGGGAGGCGCATTGTCGTCCATAAAAATAAATTCTGGACCAACAGCTCCTCGCCACAAGCGTACAACAGGCCTAAGAATGGTATTAATATAAATTTGTCCATTCATGTTACCAACAATAGGAATTAAAGGAGTTTTATTATTTAGCATGATGCCGCCCCCAAAAATTATGGAGCCATCTTGATATGGGACTCTTTGGACAGCTTGGTTAAGTCTATTCTGTCGATTTGGGTTCCTCCAAATCATAATTCGGCGATTATCCGACAAAAGGCTAATTTTGGTTTCATCAGAAAATAAGACCTTTCCCCATCTGTTGTCATGCCATTGTAAATGTTCATTGGCCCATTCCAGTCGAGTCCTTTTCTGCTCTAACGTAAGCTTTGGTACAAACAATGGTCTTCTTGTAAATAAATTCGCCGAATGTAACCTGTTTTTAATAGTCTGATCGCAAATTACAATATTATGCTTGCTGGAGCTCTCTTTTAATAGCTGGGGCAGTCATAGAGGGGTTTCTCCTTGCAGTTAACGTTAAAAAGCGTTCTTGGACATTGGTAGTAATTCTGGGTCTTCCGCTTTTTGGACGATCGCTAACAGAATTCGTCTCTCGATATTGTTTCACAATCCGAGACACATCACTCTGATTAACTTCAACCTGAACAGCAACGTCGACTGTGTGTGGCCTTCCTCAATCAAAGTAACGATTCTAGCTCTGTTAAACTCAGATATCACTTGCCTATTCATATTGTTTACTACAAAGCGAATAAAACGCAAACTTTGCAAAAAATTTGCAATTTTTACAAATATCGGTTTTCGAAAACTGATGAACACAATATGAATTCTTAGAATCTCTGCGACGATTAAGAAACAAAAAACAAGCAGTAAATACATTATTTTAGTAGACAAAAAAAAATCAGCAAAAAATTTCAAATTAGAAACGTTCAGTGGCGTTACAGATAATATGTGTGAAACATTTTTGAGTGTATATATATATATATATATATATATATATATATATATATATATATATATATATATATTCATACACTTACCAATAATTTTTTAGTATTGAATTTCACGAAAATAAACACTTATAATATTCGACGAAAAGTGAGATTCTGCACAAAACAATAAATTTGACCGGCCGCTACACAGTTTCAAAGTCAACTGAGAAATAAACACATTGAGCGGCATTTTCGCTTACCAAATGCGTACAAGTGTACTCAGTGGTATACGACCAAAGGCGGGATTACAAGTTGCAGGCATAAAAATATTTGAACTTTGATGGTACACAAGGCAAATATCGAACACAGTATTTAATCAAATCTTGCCCAAGTACTTTCGATCACAAGATCATCTTCAGGGGCATTTCGTTGTGGCGTATCCAGCAGTAACAGAATTATTCATTCTGTTACTGCTGGATAGGCCACAACTGACGAAATGCCCCTGAAGATGATTTTGTGATCGAAAGTACTTGGGCAAGATTTGATTAAATACTGTGTTCGATATTTGCCTTGTGTACCATCAAAGTTCATTTATTCGAACATTCAACCTTATATTGACTTATTGATAAAAATACTTGTAAGAGATATTAGATAAGATTAACTTCTATTGTAAGACAATAGAAGTTAATCCGTCTGGAGGCGGTCTTGCCTGCTAGAGGGTTAAGATAAATTTGTCGAGAGTATTGGAATATCCGTCGTAGGGTTTAATATTTTTTAATTTTGATTTGAGAAAATTCCAGTTAAGGGGAGTTTGAGTTTGAGTTGCAGTAGCCATATTTTCAAATAAAATGATTTGTCAAAATCTCTCACAAAATTGTATAGAATTATGTATTATAGAAAATATATATCGTTGGTCCAATGCCAAAGTCACGAATGTGCATATTTGATGTTTTGAGAAAAAGCCGTTTTAAACATTGAAGACATTGTTAAAAATAGAAATTTCAATTTATGAAGAAAATTTTCTATATTTTTAATGGTTTTCCAAAAAATAATGCATATTCGTTGTTTTGGCCTTTTAAAATTTAAGACATATTGTGTTCCGTTAAAACAAATAAAACCATAATATTGATAAAATGAACTAGTTTTATTGATATAAGTCAATATTATAAAAGTTTAGTTTTCCTTATCATCGGACTGAACAAAATAAAAAACAAACATCAAAGTTCTCTAAGAAAAACAAAAAATCTTTCTCTATAGAAGAAAATTAAAATAAATCATAGTCGTATACTCTTTTTAAAAACTTAATAAAACAATAACGTTTAATCTTCGTCAGTATCGGATTCTTCACCAATATCGGGTTTCGGTAGATTGTCCCTTACCGTTTGATTTTTTTAAGGAGCCGTAAAAATCATGGTAACCTCTTGGTATTGTCAAATCCTTGCACATTTTATCTAAGTCCTTCCATTTTGTCTCGCTGATGGGTAAGTCATTTTGATAGGCCTTTTGTAACTCTGCTTGTTTTGGGCAGCCTCGTGTTTTTTTGTAGTCTACTTCAATAAAATCATGGGTTTAGTTTACTTTATAAAGAACTTTTATGAGATTATTTCTCCAAAGAATTTCACTTAATTTGAAGGATTTATTATTTAAAAACCCTTTAAAATCCAAAAAGGCATCAAACGTCAAAGACTTTACAAGGGGAGATGGTGTGATACGTGCATCTCTTATAAGTTTCGCCCAACCCTCGGGGGTATAAACGGGTACATATTTTGCTTTCTTCTCTATTTTTGAATGAATGGAATCACATTCCAGTTCTGTGTGTCCCGTTTCAAAAAACTGATGATCAATCACTTTCAATGATGGATGTTTCGCAAGAAGTTGGATACACATTATTGCAAATATTGCGTTTTTTTGCTGGCCTCCATAGCCGTCAGACATCATACGTACAGCTTCGATTTGAGA